ACTGAGCCACCCAGGCGCCCCTTTTTTTTTTTTTTAACTAACGGTTTTGTAAGTTTTGTAAAATTCAGGTGTGTAGCATGGTTGGGCTCTCTGTTACCATCCGAGTTTCTGCTGGGCTACTTTTCTTTCTTGAGGTTCAAGGGAATAATCATTCAGGCTGTGAGATGAATTCAGTTCCTTTTGGTTACAGCATCAAGTTCCTCTTCTTCTTGCTGGCTGTCAGTCAGGGACATTCTTATAAGCCATAGGAATTACTAATCACATAGCTCCTCCATCTTTAAAGCTGGTAATGGAGAATTTCTTACATGGCAAATCTCTCTAGCTTTGGATTTTTGACTTCCTTTGTTTCTGAGCTTAACACCACTGTTATAAAACACCATCATCATCATCAGCGTTTCTGAGAGTCAGGCTTTTAAGGCCATAAGTCAGGCCGTAAGATAGGTCTAATTGTGATTTGAGCTCAGGATCTCCGCCATTGTGTTCTTGCTGCCCGCCGGAATCAGGAATATGATGGGTCATCTATTTTGATGCCCTTAAATTCTCAGTAGCACTCCAGAAAATCCCCTTACATTCTCCGAGTGAAGGTTAAGCATTCTGTGGCAGGGAACTCCTGGAAGGGTCAATACAGTCTCATCCTCAATGCTCTGATAAGTTCTAATGACCCGCAGGCAGGGGACACCTGGTCCAATTTGGACGGATCAAGAAGACATTCACGAAGATGTGAGCCCTGGCTGGGTAACTAGATCCACAGGAGGAGGTGACCAAGTGAAAGAAGGAAGACATTCTAGACAGAAGGGATCACATGGTTAGCGCTCTGAGACAGAAAAGAGCGGTGTGGCTATGGAAGTGGGAAAGAGTTCTTCAGGGACATGGTTTTGCTCTATGTAGTATGCAGCTCAATCACACCCCACATGGGGGACAGATCTGGGCAGACTGCAGGCAGAAGGATGAGCTAGAATGTTACTAGAGTCTGTGGAGAATATGGCTAAGGCATAGGCATATACAAGTCCTCAGACCATGGGACAGAGAAGAGCAGTGCATGGCCCCCAGCCTTAGAGGGACAGGACGGCTTATAGCGCTGCGAGACCGAGAGCATGCACGGGCCGAGACCTGAGGGATGGGCAGAGCCACGCAATCCCAGCTGGCCAGGGGGTGAGAGTGAGCTACAAAGCAAAGGGATCTGATCATGACCGTAAATAAAGGGCATCATCTGGATGAGTAATGTCCCTGACTCAGGTCTGGCTGGTTCTGAGGAGTCTGGGAGAAAGGATGGAACCAAACTTTCTCATGGGAAGAGAGCAGGTTCCAACAGCATGGAAAGGACTGGGCTGGAAACAGTGAGGAAAGCCAAGATCAGAAGGATATAAGGCACATGGTGGGTCTGCAGGTGCAGGAAGAAGCACCAGTAATTCCTCCGTAGAAGAATAGTAACACTTAACCCACTCATTGATCTGAATTCTGGAAGCCTCAGTACCCACGTGGATGTTTAGCAAAGTCTGTGAAGAGTCAGAGAGCTCACCGTGTTCCTATTTGTGCTACGTGTGCCCTGGCTGCCTTGATGCAGGAGCTGACCAGCTACGACGCGGGCAGCTCCTGCCTCCCCTTCTCCAACCTCTCCATGTTCTCACGTGTCCACTCGTGGACTATTACACTGTAGACTGCTACAAATGCACACTAATCAAAGTTGTCCAAAGAATTTCAAAGGTCAATGTGACGGCTAGGAAGAAGGTCTTAGGAATCAGATAGAGAATTTCCTATCATCAGTAAAAGGCAGGCAAACACTAAACTCTATTTACTAGTCATTTTTACCACTTACATTAAAAAGTCTGAAAGACACTTGATTTTCTTTCATTTCCTCTAAGAAGCTCTCTTTTCCCCTCCCTAGTATCCCTAAGAATTAGGAAACAACATCTAAAGTATCAAAGGCATCTTTACCTGTTCTCCCTTTTCAAAAAAAATGTTTATATTCTATTTTTAACATTTTAAAAAATATTCCTTTTGATGTGCTAACCAGGTTAGTCTATTGTGCTTAATAAAGACTGGAATTTCCAAAGGAGCATTTCTGAAGCCAAGCAAACAACTAGGCTATTTAAATAAAGGAACAGTGGAAGCTACGTATTAGACTTTCCTCCGTGAATTATCAGTAAATTGCTTGTATTATTCAAGTGCAGATTCATACATTAGAGATTTCCAATATACAAAATAATCAGGATTAATGAAAACTGACATCCTATCACTATCTGGCAAGGAGAAATAATTAGGTACTGTCATCTGCACTTAACACTATCATTTAATACATTTTTTTTTTTTTTAACCCAGGATTATTGTGTATCATGGGCTGAGAGCCAGGGGTACAGGATATAGAATAAAGAATCAGAAGTTGTTGGGGCTAATTTTCCTGTCTACTTCTGTAGCTCAATGTGGGTTCCATCCAAGATACCTTGGATGGAAAGAAGATACCTAAGGAAAGAAATCAATTCCATCAAATCAAATGAGGGAGGAGGAAAGTTCTTAAGAATTAAAAAGGTAGGCTCATAGAGGCAACCTTGGAAATGCAGCCAGGTCGAATGGTAAGTGAGCTAGCGTCTTTATCCTTCAGGAACAACAGAGCCTCTCTGTTGGGCTACTATCTGTCACCACAGTCCCCTCCACTGGCTCATAACCCACACAGCCACCATCTCCTACTGCCTGCCATCAGAGGTCACCCATTTTAGGACACTTATTTCACCTCCTCAAGAGTAAGACCAATTTCTTACAAGTCCATCACTGGATGAATCAGATTATTTGTTTCTGACCCAATCAGAAGTTGGAAATTGAAGCACTGGATGTAATATGGTCCCCTAGACCTGTGCCAATCTGGGGCTGGGGAGGGGAGGGGATGAAATGAAATAAAAGATGTACAGTGTGCAAAAATATCACACAGAAAGGTAGAAATAAGAATGGAAAAAGGTAATCTGACCAATAGAGAAACAGTGGGTTTCAAAGCAAAACAGATGTCGATTCAGTGGTATGTGTGGACCTAGGAAGCTAACAGTCTTAGCTTCTCAGGAAGTAGAAAAAAAACCTCACCTTTAACCAAAAGCTTTTAAAATTAAAAAAAAAAAAAAAGAATCAGATTGGGGTGGTGGGGGGAGGTGTATACCCTGTGCCTTGGATTACAGAAGAATTCAAGACCCAATTTGCACACTGGTCTTATTCCAAAATGTGGTTACAATTTGGCTATTACAAATTCTTAATACTTTTTCTTCAAAAAAATGATGTTCAGTTAGCCAGTGGATAGTAAGGAACTTATGATGTAAGGCACTTATGATGAGCATTGGGCGTTATATGTATGTGACGAATCACTAAATTCTACTCCTGAAATTAGTATTCCACTATACGTTAACTAGAATTTAAATAAAAATTTGAAGAAGGAAAAAAAGAGCTCTTCAAATATGTCCAACTACATGGAATGAATCAAATACACATTTATAAACATTATTTTTCTCCTTGCCTCAGTCTTACCATCTTCAACCAGTCAATCTTCTGAAAACAATTTTGAGTAAACACAATGCACTTTTTTGTTTTGTTCTGTTTTGTTTTTGGTCCATTCTCCTCTGGTTAATTTGGGTGTTTGGCCAGTCAGTTTGAGGAATCACAGCTACTTATAACCTAGGTACTTGGATGCAGAGGTAGATATGCTCCCACGGGTCCAAAATAATGTTGCAATAGAAAATGATATTCTGTCCAAGCAGGCTAGTCTAATAAGAGTACAATGATATCCATGTAGATTCACCATTGTTAAGGAGAAAAAAAAAGAACAATGTTTAAAAGACTGATGGCAAGTGGCTCGAATAGGAAACATTCTGACTACAATTGCACTCTTACAATGACAAAATATGTTAGAGCAAAAGATACAAGGACATTTTAATTCTTTTGTCACAGCAGGTGGCTAAGAGATCACCAGACTCACGCTCCTCTCTGAGCACAGTGGCCGTGGCCCAACCTCCATCTATGAGAGGCCACATGACTGGTTTGCACCAATGGATTGTACGTGCAGTGATGCAATGGACAAAACGACTGACAGTGAGGTCATAGGGGATGGCAAAGCCCCCAAGAGAGAAGCTGGTCCTTAATAACTGTGGGAGGGAAAGCAGAGAAGCAGCCCCCGACTACCACCCACTACCTCTACCTGTTGCATGAATGAGACACAGCTATTAAGTCACTACAATGTTGGAGTTGACCTGCCACAGCAAGTTTCCTGCACGAAGACACCTCCCTTAAAATGTGAACCTCAAAAACATGACATAGAACAAGATAACAGGAAAGTACAATGCATCACTGAAAATGACAGTTGTGTAACTTTGTTTCTTTCACACAACACACACACACACACACACACACACACACACACACATTTTTAACATGAAAACATGGTCCTAGAGTCAATAATTTATTTTGTGGTCCAGTGACTATGTTTTGTTTTTAAACATTTTCAGACCTCAAACCAACCCCTCATTGAATAATTATTCTCTCTATGAATTCAAAATATTTTTACCCAGGAGAATTGCATGCGTGGCTGATATTTGAGGTACAATTTTGCAACTTAGTATCACACAGTAGCAAACGAGACAGGTGACATCGAAATGTTCTCTTTCATTTCAGGAACCTGCACCTCTGGTTCGTTTAGGAAAAAAAAAGAACTGAACTGAGAGACTGTGATATGGCATCTCCTGATTTTCCAGAGAGTTGACTCAATGCAAAGCCTTCCTTTGTGCAAAATTACACGTAATTTGCATTCAGGTCAGGTGTTAATTTTGTTAAAAAGAGTTTCAAGTACAAATCAGGCCATTTTGGACACCTTTTGAACATCTTAAATCAGATTGGTTATAATTCCCTTCCAACATCTCACTGAATGCTCCAAATCCACTGCCAGGTTTGTAAGGAGAAGATAAACACCACAATTTCCTTTCCCTGGCAGCTCCCAGCCCAGAAGTGTAAGGAGGCAGGGTGCCCAGTACCTGATGCTGCTCATGCTGCCCGTCTCTGATCCGAGCTTGCATCGCTCCAGTTGGCTGGCGACGATCTGGCGTTCTGCCTCCAGCTCTCGGGTCAGTCTCTCAAACTGTAATTCCTGAAATAAAGCCACCAAAAAGATTAATTCTATCATCCACTTTGCAACGTGGAATTCACATCAAAATGATGTGGTGGTCAAAGGAGAAAAATGACATTTGCCGAGATGCTGAATTTGAGAAACCGGGGATGTCACTGTGAAATCCAAGAGGGATTTGCACTTCAGACGGATCTGAGTATGTATCAGAGTCCTGGGGTCTGCTGGCTGAAGTGATTTAATCTTTGTAAGTATCAACTTCATCATCTGTAAAATGGGTTGACAATACTTATTTCCTAACATCGGGGTAAGGATTTAATGAGGCACCGACCATGAAAAATCAGCCTGGACTATTTGGCGGATGGCCAGCACCTGACAGATATTAATTCTCCTCCATTAAAATTGTAACATTCAGTAAAATGTTAAAAGAAACAGCTTTTCTATCATTTGGAATACTGTGTTTATTCCCATAGGCCTTCTAGCTGCCTCTCTCTACTAATTCGACCCTAACATTACTTGTTACATATTGTTGACTGAAGAGAAATCACACTTAAACTTCTGCTTCTGTAGGATTTAAATTTCAGCAGAATGGGAATGATACTGATTCTTGATAGCCTAATTACTAAGTGAATATCCTTTGAGATATTTGCTCTATCACCTTAAAACAACCCAGTTAAACCAATGAAGAATACTTTTACAAATCTGCCTGAAATCCACTGTTAAAGGATCAACGTTAATGAAGAATAATTCAATCAGTATGTCAAGTATCTTAGCTGTTCCAGTTATAGGACTTTTGTACCACACTTTAATCTTTGTCTTATTTTTCCATGCACTTAAGTTTTTTTAATAAATATAATTATAGCAAAGCAAGTATTTTTTTAAAAATATTTTATTAATTTATTTGAGAGAGAGAGAGAATGAGAGAGAAAGGGAGTGTGAGAGGAGAGAGGCCAGAGGGAGACTGACCTGGGACTGACCTAGGCTGAAGACAGTTGCTTAACCAACTGAGCCACCCATGCACCCCCAAAGCATGTATTTTAACTAAAAAAATTCAGAAGAAGTTTTTACAACATAATCAAACTACATTTGATTTCTTTAAAAAACAAATTACTGGGGCGCCTGGGTGGCTCAGTGGGTTAAAGCCTCTGCCTTCGGCACAGGTCATGATCCCAGCATCCTGGGATCGAGCCCTGCATCAGGCTCTCTGCTCAGCAGGGAGCCGGCTTCCTCCTCTCTCTCTGCCTGCCTCTCTGCCTACTTGTGATCTCTGTCTGTCAAATAAATAAATAAAATTAAAAAAAAAAAAAAAAACAAATTACCTGCACAGTTTTGTTTGGGGTATGGGAAAACAAAAATGCTGGAAAATACTGACAATAAAGGTCAGTGTGGGAGAATGAAAACTCCTAACATTGCAAAGATTTGTCTTCCCAGGAAAGAGGAATTTATTGTTTTTGCTATCCTGAGACACTCTTGGGTGATAACCTTTAAAAAGTAGGATATGGTGTGTCCTCCACATATATTAAAAATTCCCTTGTTCTTTTCCACAAGAGCAGATTTCTTTTCTGTTAACATTATTTTCGGGAACTAAGTAAGAAACACTTAAAAAGGGGACCCGGGATGGCTCAGTCAGTTAAGCATCTGCCTTCAGCTCAGGTCACGATCCTGGAGTCCAGGATGGAGCCCCACGTCAGGCTTCCTGCTCGGGGGGAGTCTGGTTCTCCCTCTCCCTCTGCTTCTCCCCCTACTCATGCACTCTCTCTCGTTCACACACTCTCTCTTTCAAATAAATAAAATATTAAAAAAAGAAACATGTTACCCACAAGAGCTCAACTTTTCCCTTTCAAGTTCTAAAACTAAGGAAGCATGCTGTTGTGGGAGCTCACATCTTTATCCTTACATACTCTGAAGGACAGCAAAGATTATTTGTAAGGAAAAAATACCAACACCTCTGTCAGAATGCATGTTGTGCCCCTAATCTCTGCTTCTTCTCCCAGGAAGTTCTACAGTTTGTTTTGTTTTGTTTTGTTTTGTTTTGTTTTTCGGTGGGGGGGCAATTCCTTTCCACAAAAATATGCAGGTTCTAAAAGATTTTCATGTCTAGGCTTTATAATATATTTTATCTAGAATCTGTCCTAACAGAAAACCAAGCTATCCCTTTAGAACGGTATCACCTTAAAAACAATACTTAAAGATCATATAGAATTCCTCATAGGTAGATGGAAAGTCATTGTGCGCGTGGGTGTGGTCTCACTGCACGTTTCCTCCACATCAGGGTTATGGAGGGAGGTGACGAGACACCCTCACACAAGCTGCCTTCCAAACACCGAGTCACAATTTTCAGGCTCCTTATCACTTTGGGTAGATCCGCATTTCCATCTGGCATCACTCCTCTGTCTGAGAGACTTCCTTTTCATGTTTCCTGGAATGTGGCTCTTTCGGTGATGAATTCTCTCAGCTTTACGTGCCTAACAACACTATTTTGCCCTCATTTTTGAAAGACGTTTTGTCCTCTTGTTTATTGTTTCTGACCAAAAAAAACTATGGTATTCATGTAGTTGTTTGTCTATACAGTGTCTTTTTTTCTCTGCCTCCATTTAAGATTCTCTCTTTATCCCTGGTGAACAACCTGATGACAACGTTCCCTACTATAGTTTTCCACATGTTTCTTATGCTTGGGGTTCACTGGGTTTCCTGGATCTGTGGATTTCTTTTCCATTAGATCTGGAAAGTGTTTAGTCATTGATTCCTCAAACTGTTTCCCCTTTCCCCACTAACATCCCTCCTTCAGTGACTACAATTACATACATATTAGGTCACTTGGAATAGCCCCACAGCTCAGGGATTCTTTGCCCATTTTTAAGGTTCTTTTTTCCCCCCTCACTCTGTGTTTCATTTTGGATAGCAGCGTCCATTGGTGTCGAGTTAATCACTCCTCCCCCCTACAGTATCTGATCCACTATTAATCTTGTCGAGTATATTTTTATCTCAGACATTGATGAATCAAACACCTCTAGAAGTTTCACCTGGGTCTTTTATATCTTCCATGTCCCCAACTTTATGAACACAGGGAACATACACACAAAAACTATTTTAATGTCCCGACTAGCTAACACTAGCATCTGGCTCAGTTTCAGCCGACTGATTTTTTCCCCTCAGAACGGGCCCTGTTTCTGCCCCTCCTCACGTATGGTGATGTTTGGTTGAACATAAAACATTTTGAATTTTACCTTATTGTGCTCTGGGTATCTTCATATTTCTACATATATTTTAATTTCTGTTCTGGGGCACAGTTTTTTGGATGCAATTTGGTACACTTGGGTCTTGCATTTCAGATTTGTTTTGGGGAAAGAGAGCAGCATTTTGTCCTCGGCAAATTCCTCTACTTTACCTAGGGGGATCCTTCTAAGTACTCAGCGTCCAACGGATTCTGGGTTTTCCAGTTAGGCTGGTAGGTGTGGGCACGTACTTCTGGCCCCTGGTTGGTAGTGTTTCCTCCCATCCTTTCAAATGGTTCTTTCCCTGCCCCTGGTGGCCTCCTTACAGACTCAGGATGCTCAGGTCTCAAATGAAAGTAGAAGTGGATCCTCTGTAGATTTCAAGGGTTCTCCTTCTGAGCAGCGACCACCCTTCTTGTATTTTACCCCAAACATTCTAGTCCCTTTTCCTCCCTGGCTGTCAGTGCTGCCTCCCCAGTTGCAGGGAGCCCCCTGGACTCTGCGGGTCTGCTTTTCTACACTGTTGTAGCTGGGGAAAAAGGAGGCTCACCTTTTTTGTTTTGTGTCTCTTAGAAACCACCTTCTTCACTCTTTAAAGTTCAGAGTCCTGAAAGCTGTGTTGCATATTTTCTGTATGTTTTGTTGTTTCAGATGGGAAGGTACCAGCAGGCTCCTGTTATTCTATCTGAGCTGAAACCTGGAAGGTTTTTAGGAATTCGCAATTTTCCTTCCTGTTTGATGTATAAAAGGATATTTTCTGCTATATTTAAAAACTCATATTAAATGAACTACTAACCAGGCAAATACTTAAGCTTTTACATGTTCTTTTCAATGTTCTTCACTAGTATAGGATTAAAAATAAACAGCTACCTTTGGGCGACTGGTCTGTTTCATTTATTATGATGACTTTTTAACTGAATTGACATTTTCTTTATTAAGGAAATGGGTATCAGTATGTTCCCTTTTTAAAATAGCCACTCAATAAATGTTTACTTTGCCACCCTGTATATGAACCAAGAAAGTAATTAAGTGAATTTTCCCCTGTGCTTTGCTAAGGAATACATAGTGAATGTCAAAGTCCTCAATGAGAAAGAAAGTTTCTCTTCTTCATCTAAAATCTTGTATTTTATTCATATAACAACATGAAACATAAAAATAAAATGGGAAATAATTTTTTATTGAGTACTCACTATTGCGTGCCTAGTTTCTAAGACCATATATAAGGCAGAAATTTTCCCTGCTGTGTTGCCGATGTATCTAGTGTCTAGAGCAGTTCTGGCACATAGTTGCTGCTCAGTCAACACCTGTTAACTATATACGTGTTCATGGACCCAAGTGCTCTACATGTATTACCTTGTATATTCATTATAACACTGCTATTTCCTACGGTTTCTTTTTTTTTCCCTTACTTTACAAAAATGTTAAGGTGAAAGGCTTAGCCTTGGCCGAGAAAGAAATTCTTCCTTCAAAATAGCAAAGAGAATGAGATAAAGGATGTTGTTTAGGAGGTCTGGACATACAGAAGGGGTAACATTAAAGAAGTTAATGAATAGTGGTTGGACTAAATCTTCCCGGTATTTTCTTTTGTTTCAGAGGCCATAGCAGTCCATTAACATAGAGGGCATGTGATGCCAATATAAACTATTAATTTCATTCATACTCAGATTAAGACCTGTTATTTAAAGAATTTTTATTTCTTCGAACTGTAGAGACCAGAATCTGAAATGCCTTCTGCTTTTTTGCTCACATTACAGTCATTTCCTACTTTACCCCAACTCAAGGGTCTAAAGGCTTATGGGGAGGGCTGTT